AAGTTGTAATTGTGTATCTTCCCCATAAAAATCTTCTAAAATGTTACTTACAATATATTTCTGCCTCATCATTTGACCAAAATCTGCATTGGATCACAGTCAGTTTTACAAACACTCAATGGTGATTGATAGTGACTTTTAAGTAAAAGTGTTGTATTAATTGTCATGTGTAGCTTGAAGCTAATTGTAGCTATAATGTCTCTGTTACCCAAATATGATTATATTTCATTAAGTATTTTATCAGTTTGACTAAAATCTGCATTGGATCACAGTCAGTTTTACAAACACTCAATGGTGATTGATAGTGACTTTTAAGTAAAAGTGTTGTATTAATTGTCATGTGTAGCTTGAAGCTAATTGTAGCTATAATGTCTCTGTTACCCATATATGATTATATTTCATTAAGTATTTTATCAGAAGAAATCACATAAATTCATAAGATTTTTAATTATAGTAATATAATTAATATCGGGATCAGAGGGATGTGGGTGGGCAAATCATGTAATACCAGAGTAAAGTAATGCCACAACTTACACATCTGTGTTCAGATCAGCTTTTTTTCCTGGCAAAATCAGTGTAATGGCAATATTTCCATCCCCTGAATGTAAGCTTTTCCATATTCCAAGCTTTCCTGATGCACTGGTGACTTCATGTGCCTGTGCGAGTCGTGAAAATTATGAAAATAAATCTAAGAATTATTGGATTGTTGGATTTCAAATCAGTAGGAGTTGATGCATCAAAAGTAACGAAGTAACTAGCTGTTTTATGGATGGTAACTGTAATATTATTACTGAAATCTTATTAGCAATTAGTTAGACTACTAGTTACTGCAAAACATAATATTATTACAGTAACTAGTTACTGCCCAACACTGCACATTACATTTTGCATGTCACCTAACTTTTTCTGCAGCACTTTACTTCTGCTACAAAAGACGTGATACTTCCTACTAGAGGGCACTGAAAGTACTATATCTTATGAGTTTTGCCCTTTTACCCTTACTCACCCAAACTAGTCAACAAGGCCATACTTACATGAATGTGAGTTTTTTTAGCAAGTAGTTGTGAATCACAGGTGTTTTATATATAAGATGAGTACATGACTGCGGCAGGCAATGAGGCCGAAACCAGCACATTCAGTGCAAAAAGGCTTTGACTTTTCAATTTGACTTCATATTATTTTATTTATCCATTATACTAAAGAGACCTTTTTGAAGGATATAGTTTTTTGTTGTTGTTGTTTTTTATTTTTGCAATTTTGAGGTGCTCAGTTTTATTTTGGTTTTAGAAAATAAACGTGATTGCTCTCCTCACAAATCAACTGTTTTTGTTACATGTTCTCTGTGGCTTGTCTTGGACTTTTATGTCACTTCCTGTCTCCCGTGGTGTTTGTAGTCAGTTTGTAATCCGTTTGTTCATTGCTTGTCCTTGATTAGTCTCCCCAGATGTGTCTTGTTATCTAGTTAAGCATATATAGCTCTAGTGTTTCTTTAGTTTCTTGTGAGTTGTTGAATATAATGGTTGTCTGTCATTCTGTTCTTTGTTCCCTTTGGTTTATTGTTTGTTCTAGTTTTTCCATTCCATCCTGTTTTCTGCAGCTTTTCCACAACGTTACAGTTTTTCACTTTGCATGTCTCTGACTAGTGCATCTTTGAGCCTATATTTATTATTTCAAAATACTTAAGTACTGTTAAAATCAGATACTCTAACTCATGTTGTTTTGTAATAAGTGACTTGTAACGTGTCATTAAGTAATTTTCACTGTAATGTATCTGTACTTTTACTCAAGTATGGTTTTTAGGTACTCTTTACATCTCTGAGAAACAGAGAAAACTACACGCACATTGGGTTCCCGCTTGTTCTGTAAATATTTGATAGAGTTACTGTTATCATAGTGTTTGTGGTTCACCTACAGCAGATGGAGGAGGGTGTGGGCCCTGGTGTTGTGGCAGCGGCTGGAGAGTTATCACAAGAGGAGGGGGAGTGCAAGCTGGGCCCAGAGGCTGTGGTGGTTGCGGGGCTCGCCGTTTTTTGGTTGATATCTTGGGGCCTGCAGCAATAGAGTGGGAGAGTTTGGTTCCAGCATGGACCAGTTCCTCCATTTTGTCTGAGCTCAGAATCGGGGATGCTGTAGAGAGGGGCTATGGCTCTGGTGTTACTGGAGGCTGTAATTTGTTGTCCTGTTGTTTTCCAGAAAGTTGTCTTTGGTGTTGACTCTTAGAGGATTTCTAATACGTCGCAGTCTGTCTGTGATGAGCTCTGTGCAATCAGGATTGTGTCAATGAGCAGTGGTTGTTGTGTCTGTATGGTGGAAATAAATAATCAAAAAGGATTTTAATCAATACATTTAATACAGTCTTTAACAATTTAACCAATTAACCAAAACCGATTCTTTGTTTTATGATTTAAAACAAATGTACCAAAAGTGGTGGTAATCAAATAAATCCACAAAATTGTATCTTTTAAAATATAAATGAAATAAAATTTGAACAATTTCATTCATTTTTTTTTTTTGTCAAAGTGCTGCACAGCTGAGGTTTACCCTTTAAATATTAACATGGGAAAATATATACAGATGTTTCAATATATTGGTAATGAATATATTCTATGAGAATTTCTATTTCAAATTTTGACTGCAAATGTCACGTCCGTAAATTGCTGGAATTGCTCTTTTATTACCTCACATAGAAAAAAAAACATTTTCTCATGTCACACATCCTTGATCTGCAATCAGGTTTTTTTTCCCTATATAATATATATATATAATATATTTCCATAATAATAATAATA